CCTTATGATTATATGGTGTAGGTGACAAATAGATTCAAGGGATTAGATCTGGAAGACAGACTGCCTGAAGAACTATGGACAGAGGCTCATGACACTGTACAGGAGGCAGTGACCAAAACCATCCCAAAGAAAAAGAAATACAAGAAGGCTAAGTGATTGTCTGAGGGGGTTTTACAAATAGCTGAGGAAAGAAGAGAAGGGAAAAGCAAGGGAGAAAGGGAAAGATGTACCCAACTGAATGCAGAGTTGCAGAGACAGGAAGGAGAGATAAGAAGACCTTCTTTTTTTTTTTTCCAATTAGCAATAATCGCGCCTCGGATAAACCTCATTGGCTACGATACTGCCACTGCGCAAAGCTAAGAAGACCTTCTTAAATGAACAATGCAAAGTAGAAGAAAACAATAAAATGGGTAAGATCTCTTCAAGAAAATTGGGGGGAAAAAGGAAAAACAAAAGAAAATTGGAGATATCAAAGGAACATTTCATGCAAGGACGGGCATGATAAAAGACAGAAACGGCAGGGACCTAACAGAGGCAGAAGAGATTAAGAAGACATGGCAAAAATACATAGAAGAACTATACAAAAAAGGTCTTAATGACCCAGGTAACCACGATGGTGTGATCACTCACCTAGAGCCAGACATCCTGGAGTGTGAAGTCAAGTGGGCCTAAGGAAGGGCAACAAATTCCTGCAAATTCTCTTTTCATTTTTATTCTATTACAAATATTTTCTAATTTCTCTTGTTATAGCCAGTGGAGGTGATGAATTCCAGCTGAGCTATTTTAAATCTGAAAAGATGATGCTATTAAAGTGCTGTACTCAATATGTCAGAAAATTTAGAAACTCAGCAGTGGCCACAGGACTGGGAAAGGTCAGTTTTCATTCCAATCCCAAAGAAGGGCAGTGCCAAAGAATGTTCAAACTACCAGACAATTGCACTCATTTAGCATGCACTAGTAAGGTTATGCTCAAAATCCTCCAAGCTAGGCTTCAGAAGTACTTGAATTGAGAACTTTCAGATATACAAGCTGAGTTTAGAAAAGGCAGAGGAACCAGAGATCAGATTGTCAGCATTCAGTGGATAATAGAGAAAGTAAAGGAATTCCAGAAAATCTTCTGCTTCATTGACTACATGAAAGTCTTTGTGTGGATCACAACAAACTGTGGAAAATTCTTAAAGGGAAGGAAATACCTGATCACCTTACCTGTGTCCTGAGAAATCTGTATGCAGCTCAAGAAGCAACAGTTAGAACCTTACATGAAACAACTGGCTGGTTCAAAATTGGGAAAGGAGTACAACAAAGTTGTATACTGTCACCCTGCATATTTAACTTCTATGCAGAGTACATCATGTGAAATGTTGGGTTGGATGAATCACAGGCTGGAATCAAGATTGCCAGGAGAACCTTACATATGGAGATGATACCACTGGCAGAAAGCAAAGAGGAACTAAAGAGTCTCTTGATGAGAGTGAAAGAGGAGAGTGAAAAAGCTGGCTTAAAACTCAGCATCCAAAAAACTAAGATCATGGCATCCAGTCCCATCACTTCATAGCAAGTAGAAGAGGAAAAAGTGGAAGCAGTGACAGATTTCATTTTCTTGGACTCTAAAAATCACTGTGGACGGTAACCGCAGCCATGAAATTAAAAGACGCTTGCTCCCTGGAAGGAAAGATATGACAAACCTAGACAGCATATTAAAAAGCAAAGACATCACTTTGCCAACAAAAGTCTCTATAGTCAAAGCTATGGTTTTTCCAGTATTCACATACAGATGTGAGAACTGGACCATAAAGAAGGCTGAGCAGTGAAGAACTGATACTTTTGAATTGTGGTGCTGGAGAAGGCTCTTCCCCTGGACTGCAAGGAAATCAAACCAGTCCATCCTAAAGGAAATCAATCCTGAATATTCATCGGAAGGTCTGATACTGAAGCTGAAGCTCCAATACTTTGGCCACCTGATGTGAAGAGCTGACTCATTGGAAAAGACCTTGATGCTGGGAAAGATTGAAGGCAAAAGGAGAAGTGGGCAACAGAGGAAGAGATGGTTAGACAGCAATACCAACTCAATGGACATGAATTTGAGCAAACTCCAGGAGATACTGAAGGACAGGGAAGCCCGGCATTCTGCAGTCCGTGGGGTCACAAAGAGTCAGACACAACTTAGCGACTGAACAACAACAACACCTAGAATACTTTCAGAATAATAATGCCAATTCTACCACCAATAATATGACTACTTAAAATATCTTTGCACTTCTTTTTGTCCTTAAATGTATATACCACTTGGGATGTCACAGTCAAATTATTGATTTTAAATTACTTGGATTGTTTGGGTGGGGTCATTTTACATTTCTGTAATAAAACCCTTGTGATATGGCTTTATGTGGTGAAGAGAAAAAAATTTTCAGATCTGTATGTATAAAAAAGAGAAGAATACTCTGTGGACTTCTGGATTCTGAATTAAATGTAGAGCATATTAGTGCACGTGCCTTAGTGACACTATTTGAAATCAGTCCTTGTGTTAATTTCACTTGGCAGGTACTAAGAAATGATGATCCATGACGCCTATGACTGCAAAAATACAACGTGGCTAAATTCCTTGGTTGCAATCTCTTAAAAGGTCACAAGATTATGTTACTCCACAAAAGTATCTTTCTGAATCTCTTTTTCTCTCACTTTATCTAAGTTCCTCTCCCCTTCAAAAAATTGTATCCCCATTCCTTCTTTCCCTCATTGACTTTGCTGGCCTCCTCCCTCAGCAACTCAGAAGCTTATGTGTTTGTGTGTATACCTGCAAAGAGGAGCTGCTATATAAATAAGGTAATGAAAATGAAGGCGGTTGGGGAATAGACAGCTGCGAGGATCTGAGCTGGTAGACTGAAACAAACACTCATCCTAAACAACTCAGAGCTCAGATTTCTTCTCTAGACAGCTGGCTTTTTAAGTCCTTCTGAAATACTCTACAAAGATGGGGGAGGGGCTGTGAACTACCTCTGCTATGGACCTTATTTAAAGTCAGCTACCTCCTTGATATGTTCTGTAGAAACTAAATGCAATATTCAATATGGCAGGGATAAGGGTGGTGAGCTAAAGGTATACAGTTGTCCATTCTAATTTTTAAAGGCCTGAGGGCTTTTAAATTATTGACAGTGCTGGAGGGCTGCTTGGAGTAGGCAGTGACTAGAATCATGTAAGCTCACACTGGATATCTGATTTGCTGGTCATATTTCTATCCTTGCTGTGCCACTTGGCACCCTATACTCCATATTCTTTCTAATCCTCCTACCCTCTCCACCCTTCCCACCCCCTTGCCAACACTCCAACACCCTACCCCCATCAACACTCCTGGAATTTTGGACTTAGCTATTTTTAAAACAGTCAACTCAGTAGCCACCTCCCTCCCCCGCTCAGCTGTCCAGTACTCCGGCCAGCCATCTAGTCCCCCTTCCCCCCACACCAGACCTTCTCTGGTTCCCTGACCTCAGTGAGACTGCAGCCGGTCTGGGGACCTAGGGGAGACATGGAGAAAGAGACGGGGGATTCCCTGGCTGGAGCTGACTGATACAGTAGACAGTCATGGCTGGAGAATTGGATATCAGACTAATGTTTGACCTCTGGAAACAGTAAGTCAAAATTAAATTGCAATTCCTTTAAAAAAGCTTCTAAATTGAAGTTAGAATCTCATAAAATTATGACATCAACTTGGATGTCTCTGGTGCAAATCTAGGATCTCTTCCATACCAAGGTGCCCCAGTCTCCATTTCTCCTTCTGTCTTAAGCTTTCTGGCCTCTGGCCACTAGAAGTTTAAACCTCCATCTCTCCTCTGGGAGTCTTAGCTCTCTCCTCCTGTTACCTTGAGACTTCTGATGAAGTCTCCTTTTTTAGTAGAAGTTTCCTACACCTCCTATCCTGTGGTTTCCTCACCAAGGCCAAATTTAGCTTCAGATGATTAGTCACTGATACCCTCTATCTTGTTCCTACTTATCAGTGCCCTTCACATTGGGCTTCCAAAGGTGGGGATTACTCCTTGTGATTTCTCCCTACAACTCTAGTCCCATCATCCTATTCTCTCTCCTGCATGACTCTCCCTCAGTCATATCCTTAACTCCAGAGAGAGTAGTTTGGCAAGAGGGAGTTAGCCCTTCCCCAAGCCTTGTCCTCATCAAAAGATTGACTTCTAAACTTGCAAAGTTAAGATCGATGGAAAGGTAAGATCAATGGAAAGAGTGGTTCTTCAGTCAGATTTGAAGAAATGTTGACTCATGAAGAAGAAATGTTGACTCATAACAAATATTGATTTGCATGTTTGGTTTGCATCCATTGTTCCATGAGACAGAGGGATAATTTTAGCTCTCTACAGTAGATGAAACAGACTGGCTCCCTTTTCATTTGAATACTGATTCCAGAGATGGGATGTGTATCCCACCCTTACTCCTCCTTACTGAAAATTCTGACACAAAGGAGGAAAATCAATGAATGACCTCTGGAGGGTGTCCCCTCCTGATTGGGAAGAGCAAATAAGAGGTAGTCTCTGATGTATTTTCAGATCCTAATTCTGTTGGGGAGCCCACTGGTATGACTGAGATCTGATCTATCCACATGATTCCTCTTTTTGACATTTCTGCTGTTTGGTAGCTCAGTATGGGGCAATACAGTGGACTCTGCCCCCCGAGTCCACTCAACCTTTCTTCCACCCCCACCTAGGGGTATTGCATAAGGGGCCTGAAAGTGGTCACAAAAGCAGGGCACAGAGGCTTAACAGCCTCATATTTAGTTCAGGGAGTCTCATTTCCCCTAAACTCCAGTTAGCTCATTCTTTTCTTGATCTTCCCAGATTCTCTTCACATCATTCTGAACAATCTTCAACTCTTCTCTTCCCCATGCCCAGCCACATTTCTTTTTTCAGTCCCTTACAGGACGTCCGGTCAAAATTCACTAGGTAGGAGGGTCATCAGCTGGAAAGAACCGGAACCTGGGGGGACCTGGCTGGATAGGTATGGGGGACCCAGGCCAGTCCCCTAGTCCCTGGTCCCCCCATGGCAGTCCCCCAACTCTAAGCATTCTCACTCTCCTGCTGCTCCTCTGTGGACATGGTAAGGAAGGGTTAGGTAAGGCTTTGGGGGACCTAGGGGGTAGGCTGCTATGTAGGGGTGGGCATGTGAGCTTGGGTGAATGAGATGAGATGGGTGCTGAGGGGTCCCAGTCACTTGCCCCACTCTCAGGTATATTTTATCCACCGTTCAACTTGGGGAAGGGCACTGGGAAAGCCCTTGATCCACAGGCAGAAGAGATCTAGCAGGGCTTACCCATCTTTAGCAAGACTGAATGATGACAAGACTAGGAAGCTGGGGGCTGGCGGCTGGGAACTGGGAACTGGGGGAGGCTCTCAGCTGGGTTTTAGGATCTGCTGCTATCCCCCCATGAGACCTGGGAGAATTATGGTTGAGGTTGAGCGGGGATCTGGGGACCAGCTCACACTCCTCTCTCCCTTCCTCCCTCAGCTTATTCTCAATGCAAGATCCTCCGCTGCAATGCTGAGTATGTATCTTCCACTCTGAGCCTTAGAGGTGGGGGTTCACCAGGAGCCCTTCGAGGAGGAGGCCGGGGTGGAGGGGTGGGCTCCAGCGGCCTCTGCCGAGCCCTCCGCTCCTACGCGCTCTGCACTCGGCGCACGGCCCGCACCTGCCGCGGGGACCTCGCCTTCCATTCTGCTGTGCACGGCATCGAAGACCTGATGATTCAGCACAACTGCTCCCGCCAGGGCCCGACGGCCCCTCCCCCACCCCGGGGCCCCGTCTTTCCAGGCGCAGGCCCGATCCGCGCCTCTGGCTCCCCAGCCCCGGACCCCTGTGACTATGAAGGCCGGTTTTCCCGGCTGCACCGACAACCCCCAGGCTTCTTGCACTGCGCCTCCTTCGGGGACCCTCACGTGCGCACCTTCCATCACCACTTTCACACGTGCCGTGTCCAAGGAGCCTGGCCCTTGCTGGATAACGACTTCCTCTTTGTCCAGGCCACCAGCTCCCCCGTGGCATCGGGGGCCAACGCCACCACCACACGGAAGGTCAGGGACTCAACTGCTCCTCCATGGTCACCCCAGGGTTCCACTCCCATGCCAACCCCACCAGTTTTCGGCAGCGCGGCACTATTCCCTTTCCTCCTCAGCCACTCCCACATCTTGAAGCACTCCCTCCTACCGAACACTTGCTCCTGTAAATCACTTTCCCTCCGAGGAGAGGAAAGTTGAGAAGCCCTGGGTTGAGGAGTTACAGAAAGGAAACTTTTCCTTCTCCTATGGCAGGAGCTGAGGTTGAGCCCAAACAGGAAGGAAAGGGATGGAGCAGGGATGAAACAGTATCGGAACATAAAGACAGGATCGAGGAGTGAGGCCCATGATAAGCCTTGCATCTCTGCTGGGATCAGATCCCTGACTATGTACAATAATGAGGCCTGGTTGATAGAAGCGGGGAGGGTTGCACTGAGCCCCAAATAAACTGTGTTTTCCCTCTTGCCCTTACAGCTCACCATTATATTTAAGAACATGCAGGAATGCATTGATCAGAAGGTCTACCAGGCTGAGGTAGACAACCTTCCCGCAGCCTTTGAAGATGGTTCTATCAATGGAGGTGATCGACCTGGGGGCTCAAGTTTGTCCATTCGAACGGCTAACCCTGGGAGCCATGTGGAGATCCGAGCTGCCTACATTGGCACAACTATAATCATTCGGCAGACAGCTGGGCAGCTCTCCTTCTCCATCAGAGTGGCCGAGGATGTGGCCAGGGCCTTCTCAGCTGAGCAGGATCTGCAGCTCTGCGTTGGGGGATGCCCTCCGAGTCAGCGGCTCTCCCGTTCAGTGCGCAGTCGTCGGGGAACTATAACCATGGATGCTGCCAGGCAGCTGTGCAAGGAAGGGCTGCCGGTTGAAGACGCTTACTTTCATTCCTGTGTGTTTGATGTTGTCATCTCCGGTGACCCTAACTTTACTGTGGCAGCTCAGGCAGCTCTGGAGGACGCCCGAGCCTTCCTGCCAGACTTGGAAAAACTACACCTCTTCCCCTCAGATGCTGGGGTTCCTCTTTCCTCAGCAACCCTCCTAGCTCCACTTCTTTCTGGGCTCTTTGTTCTGTGGCTTTGCATTCAGTAACCAGGCCAGCATTCAGTAACCATGATGGGTCTAGAAGTGATTTGCAGATAGAGATTGGCAAGGGAGAACATAAGAATCACTGAAGGGAAACGATGAGGGTAAGAAACACATGAAACTAACATTTTTCCAAAGTGAGAGAGGACTGCAGTCTAGGGTTGAAATGATCACAGAATAAGGATTCTGGGCAAGGTTTCTGCATTCCAGACCTCAGTAGGGGCTCTTCACTAATTTTCCCAGTCTCTTTTATAGTAAGCAAATTGTTCCAGTCCATCTCCTCCTGAGACCACCCCTACAAGCATAGAGGTTATGGGGTCCTGAGGATCAGTAGAAAACTTAAGGGTTGAGACTTTTAATAGAGAAGAACTGAAAGAGGAAGACATGATCATTACCCATCAGAAACTCAAAATCGAATGATATTTTCTCTTGGAAGGTAGAAAGAGGAGGAAATGATGAGGAAAATAATCTATTTGATAAGTATAATGTGGGAAAGATGTATTCTGCTTTCTTGGTCCATAAATGAAGTGGGAGTTGTTTGGATTTTTGGTGAAAGGAATCTCTGTCTTTGGAGAATGACACAGGTAGGAAAGAAGCTATCATCCCCACCCCTAACTAATCTGATATTAAAGCTATGGAGTCTTCACATTGTTGTCTATGTTGAATCTCTTTACAGACGCTTAAGATGGCATAAAGTCAATGTGTTCACTTCACCGAAAGAGGGCTCAAAAGCATGAGATATTATTCTGCCTTCAGGAAGTTTACAGGCTATTAGGGAGACAAACTGACTTACATGGAGTGATGAGTGTGTAATTATTCACTAAATTCCATGATACTATGAATTCAAATGGGAAGATGATTGAGAAGAACTCAAATAATAAATAATAAGAGGTAATGGAGGAGATAGGATCTGAAGTGATCTTTGAAGACTGGGTAAGATTGGTTTTGAATTAAGGATCTTCCAGGCAGGGGAAACCATCTAGACATTCACAGATTCATGATTCAGTGAAGAAACCAGCAAAATTCAAATGAAGTAGATGAGAAGTAAGGGATAAATGGATAGAAGCGAGATTATGAAGTGCCTTGAAAGTGGGGCCAAGGAGTTTAAAATTCAATTAACAGCTAACACTTATTGAGAGCTTAAAACCTGCCAGGCCATTTTCTAAACAATTTAAAATTATTAATTTTAAAAAATAAAATAAATAATTAATTCATCTAATACTCACAACTCTCTAAGGAAGGTAATTTTCTTATCTCTATTGTTATATAAGGAAAATGAGGTACAGGAAGACTAAGCAACTTTTCCACAGTAACGCAGCCTACAAATGGTGGAGCTAGAAACTGAATCCAGGAAATCTGGCTTCGGAGACTTAACTTAATCTTGACACTATACTGTCCTGTCAAGAAAACAGCTACTGAAGATTTTAGTTGTGGACTAGGCAGGGAAAGGGAGCTGCAGGCAGTGGCTGCCATCACAAAAACTATTTTCTTCTTCTGTCATATGAAACCCAAAAGGGAGAGCTGGAAAGCAGGGGGAAGCCCCAGATAGAAGGAATCTAGTTTGCAGAAGAAAAGCAAATAGAAGCTGTTCTAGTCCAGGATGTTCTAAGGTAACAGTGCTTCACTCCTCCCTCTTCTCTCAGTCTCACCCATCTAACCTAACTCCCCAGGGCACACATACACACCAGCCAGTGCTTCCCAGACAGAGCGTCCTGTTGGTCTGCTATTTCAGATTTCTTTTGCAATTCTTTACCTTCTATCCCTGATTATCTTCTCTAAGGACCACAGCCACTCTGCCATTCCCCCAAAGCACAGTCTCTTTACTTTTAAAGATGACCTGCTTTCCCTGATGGCTCAGATGGTAAAGAATCTGCCTGTAAGGTATGGGTTCAATCCCTGGGTCAGGAAGATCCCCTGGAGGAGGAAATGGCAACCCACTCCAGTATTCTTGCCTGGAGAATTCCATGGACAGAGGAGCCTGGTGGGCTACAGTCCATGGGGTCGCATAGAGTCGAATGCAACTAAGACACTTAGCTAATCCAGAAAACAATCTGTTCTAATGGAAGACAATTAGAGGAAACATATCCATTGCTTTCCTCACTTACAGATAACTTAGGCATTTTAACTCAAAACATCTTTTTGAGAAACTGCTCCTTATATTGGTTAACTCAAAAGAGTACATAACTTCATCCCTCAAGTGTGGGAATTTCAAGTAAGTTAAGAAGAATTTCATAGCCAATCGGGGAGTGAGATTCTTTCATGGCACCTGTCATTTGCTTCATTTGCCCAAACTCAGGGTTAACCCTATTATCAATGGAGTATTTAAAAATGAGTAGTTCAAAATAAGCACATGAAAAGATGCTCAACATCATTACTCATCATGGAAATGCAAATCAAATTTGAAAAACAAGGAGAAAACACTACATAACCACTGGAATGGTTCAAATTAAAAAGACTGACCATATCAAGTGTTGGCAAATTGTGAAGCTCTGACATGCTATTGGTGGGAATATAAATTAGTACTACTTTGTAAAATTTTTGGCAGTTTCTTCACAAGTTAAGCATATACTTACCATACACTCTAAACAGTCCACCTCTAAGTGTTTCTCCAAGGATAAAGACTTGCATACAATACCACTCAGCAATAAAGTGAAATAAACTACTGATACAAACAATAATATGATGAATCTCAAAATAAGAATGTAAACGAAAGCCAAACAACAACAAAAAAAGAGTACATACTGTATGTTCCCATTTGTATAAAATTATAAAAAGTGTAAACTAATATATACTGACAGAAAAAAGATCAGTGGTTGCCTGTGGATAGTCTGGGGAGGGACAGAGGGATGGTTTACAAAGACACATGAGGAAACCGGAGTAGAATGTTCATTATCCTGATTGTGGCAATGATTTAAAAAATCATGAAACTATACACTTCAAATATGTGCAGTTTATCAAACATTAGTACATCTAATAAATGTGTAAGTAAAATAAATAGGTAGCTGGCCTTTCCCTCTTCCTTTGGTGGGTAAGTCAAAGGCTTAGAAAGACCACTGTATGAAAAGGAAGATTATAACAGAATTTCCTTCTTCTAGGAAAACAGGAAAGAAGAGGATGACAAGGCAAAGAGAGCATTTAGGGATTTCCCTGCTGGTCCAGTGATAACGACTTCGCCTTCCAGTGCAGGGGGTGTGGGTTTGATCCCTGATCTGGGAACAAAGATCCCACATCCCTGGAGGCCAAAACACTAAAACATAAAACAGAAGCAATACTGTAACAACAAAACATAAAACAGAAGCAATATTGTAACAAATCCAATACTTTAAAAATAGTTCACATAAAAAAAAGGAAAGAGAATATTTAAACATTTTATACTCTCTCTTTTATCACAAGGACCATATTCCTTCCTCCAGATTCTCAAGGTCAGCGATCATGGAAAGGACATTTTCTGGTTTAAAAACAACCCAGTGCTTCATTTTTGTCTTTCCACTTCGCTAACAGTCAGCAGATGGCGCTGATGACTAAAAAGAATTACCCAGTGGGGCTGGAGCAAGTCTTCAAGAGAAAGAAAACTAATTTCTTAGATTGTCTAATATGTTCACTATCTGAGAGAAAATATTAATAATTGACATTTCTGAATTGGCATTTCAGAAATAAACTTAAAGGAGGCAGGTTCAAGAGGGAGTGGACATATGTATATACTCATGGCTGATTGACGTTGTTGTACAGCAGAAACCAACACAACACTATAAAGCAATTACCCTCCAATTAAAAATAAATTTAAAAAAGAAATAAACTAAATGTAGGTGCATAATAAACTAAATAAATTGCTTAAATAATTATGGCTTCATAACAAAGGGTTGTTCAAGACATGAAACAATCAAAATATACTACTTGACTCCACAATTGATGTTATTTATAGTGATAATATAGAATTAATATAGTCATAATTGGATTGTGGTGCTGGAGAAGACTCTTGGGAGTCCCTTGGACTGCAAGGAGACCAAGCCAGTCAATCCTTAAGGAAATCCACTCTGAATATTTACTGCAAGGACTGATGGTGAAGCTCTAATACTTCAGCCACCTGATGCAAACAGCCAACTCACTGGAAAAGATCTTGATGCTGGGAAAGGTTGAAGGCAAAAGGAGAAGAGGGCAGCAGAGGATGAGATAGCTAGATAACATCACTGACTCAATGGACATGAATTTAAGAAAACTCTGGGAGACAGTGAAGGATAGGGAAGCCTGGCGTGCTGCAGTCTGTGGGGTCACAAAGAATTGGACACAGCGGCTAAACAACAATAATAGTGATAATAATGTAAATATTGACTAGTGATTTGGCCAAAATTGTGATATAACTCTATCAGGAGGATGAGGTAGGAGGAATGGGAAGGTAGGGATAGGGAGTATAAGACACATAAAATTTCAAATACTGTAGCAAAAAGAGAGTATGATATGTCTAATATTGGGCTGCCCTGGTGACTCAGAGGGTAAAGAATCTGCATGCAACGCAGGAGATCCGGGTTCTCTCCCTGGGTGGGTAAGATACCCTGGATAAGGGAATGGTTATGCACTCCAGTATTCTTCACTGGAGAATCCTATGGACAGAGGAGCCTGGGGGCTACAGACCAAGGGTCGCAAAGAGTTGGACATGATGGAGCGACTGACCCCATGGACTGCAGCACGCCAGGCTTCCCTGTCCTTCACTATCTCCCAGAGTTTGCTCAAATTCATGCCAAATACTTATAAATTAAGAAATAAAAGAGAAATATATAATTTAGAAATATGAGAGGCTTCCCTGGTGGTCCAGTGGTTAAGAATCTGCCTTGCAATGCAGGGGACACTGGTTCGGCCTCTGGTCTGGGAAGATCCCACATGCCAAGGAACTGCTAAGCCTGTGCACCACAACTACCGAAGCCCGAGAACCTAAAGCCTGTGCTCAACAGAGAAGCCACTGCAACAAGAAGTCCTCGCAGCGCAACTAGGGAAAGCCCTGCAGCAACGAA